GTAGTAGTAGTAGTAGTAGTAGTAGTAGTAGTAGTAGTAGTAGTAGTAGTAGTAGTAGTAGTAGTAGTAGTAGTAGTAGTAGTGAGAGACTTAGAAAAGCAGCATCAGATTAAAAGTAAAATACACCATTTCAATTGCAATTCAATATGTATTAACATTCGGTTACATTCAGGCCGTACTATTGTACTCATATGGTTCTCCTTGAGTTCTGTGGGGCTATATAAGTAAGAGGGAGAGAATTCGGGTGAGTAGCAGCGGAAGAAGCACGCAAACAAGAGGATAGCAGTCAGCCTGTGAAGGTGTCACGTGTGATTTGAAATCTTTATGTGCGCTGTAATATTGGAATTATGTGATTTAGAGAGTGCATTACAGTGCAATTGAGAATGGAGCATATCCCTAGTGGATTGTGAAGATTGGTTGAGGATCAGGACAGAGGTGTGCAGAATGATTGAAGACGAAATAACAAGAATACTTCGTATCGATTTGAAGCGCTAGTTTCTGTGTTCAGATCCGTTGCCAGGAAACGACTAGTAAGACGTAGAATCCTAATTCATGTGCAATTTAAATTGTGTATAATAACGATAGCTTTATAATTGAATGTGATTAAGTGAACTTGTAATCAAACTGCCAATAAATCTAATCCAGTTATTTTAGTCACGCGTACCCCCCTACACGTAACAGTATTTTTTCATTGTCATTTGTGATGCCACTTGGTGTCGCCATTGTGGTCTCAACGCACCGTGTGCCTGTTGCAGTGATAGACCGTCTTCTGAACATGACAGCGACAGCCTGAAATCTGTTCATGGGAGAGAAATGTTCCGCTCTGCTTGTGCGCATGTTTGTGGCAGTGTTATATGTCGATGGTTACACACACGTTTTTGGTATATATGTCGCTGCGTTACCGCATTGTCTGTGTCTCCATGATCTGCATTAAATGAAGGAGGAAATAGGTCGCACTTCTGGAGTTACACACGAATATAATCTAGCTGCTCTAATATAGGTCGCAAGCAGACGAAGGTCTGGTTTTAGCGATGTCGTCATTATGCATTCCAAGCAAGCAGCGTGATTTATCTCAGTAAACACCCGTAGCAACGTGCCACTTCTACATAAGTCTGGATGAGTGAGGAATACATACATTGATCTAGGCGCCCCCGTGCGTCACTGCTCTACATTCATTCTCTTGGCGCTTCCACGATGAAAATTTGCAAAATTGTCCGTCTGTCTGTATCCATCTGCCCGAATGTAACAACACAATAACCACTGAACGGATTTTCGTGAAATTTCACATTGGAAATTTTAATAAAATTTAGCGATTCACCCCAGTTTCGGTTAAATTCTAACATCAGTGTCAGGCTTCTTACATGAAGACTTTCGTATGTTTCTGTGTGAATCTCGAAGTTACTTACTTGGAGCTGAGCCCTTCTGGAGGAACCGCCAATTCTGCAGCTACTCAAGAATTTCCCAGCATTTTATGCAACCCGAAGATTCATTACCGTGTTCACAAGGGCCCTCCACTGGTCCCTATCGTGACCCAGATCAATCCTATCTCTCTAAGATCCATTTTAATATTGTTCACCCACCTACGTCTTAGTCTTTCCAGTGGTCTCTTTCCTTCTGGCTTTCCCACCAATATTCTATACGCATTCCTCGTTTCCCAAATTCCTGCTACATGCCCTGCCCATCTCAATCTCGAACTAACTTGCTAAATATTTGTCAGAAAGAAGTTTACATAAACTCGGACTGTATGTTTTGTACTCAGTGCACTCTTTTGATGAGTTTTACAGTTTCAGAGGCAGTTAAATCGCTACGCGTAAATTTCCCAACTTGATTCTGATGTAAACGCCTTTGTTCCTTGTTACTTTTAACCTTACGTAAGAACACTTTCCCAGTTCCGTAGGCTACGGATCTGTGGCGTACATTTGGGCAATGCTTGTGGATGATGAATGAAATAAAAAGTAATGGAGGAATCTATCATAGCATTTGCATGGCTGAACCGAGGACAGAACGAGAATCCTTTGTCGTCACACAGTATTAAAGGTGAGAACTTAATTCTGGATCACCAGAATTCGGAGCATTACTTATAAGGAGATAAAGTTGTCTCTGTGCCGTGAAGACGTAGGGGGCGGGGGGTGTGTAGGTTCACGTTTCCTTCACCTCGGCACTAGCTGGAAGTGAGTGGTCAGCTTCATGTACCTGCCGCTTTACCCCCCGGTACCCATTTTATAGGAGACTGGATGGGCCCCAGAGCCGGTCTGGGTGACGTGGAAAAAAAAATTCTTGATTCCATCGGGACTCGAATTCCAACCCTTCGGTCGTCCAGCTCGTAGCCGGCCGCTATACCGGCTACGCTATTATTCCTTTATTTATTTATTTATTTATTTCTATGCTTATTTTATTATTTGTTTATTCCCTCCTCCTTCAGTTACTTTTTAAAGCTGATTTACTCTGTATTTCATATTTCCTTCCCTTGTTCCCTCGCTACTCTTTTCCTTATTCCTCCTCTTCTTCCTATATGTATCAACATATCTCTCAGCTGACCTAAATATTCTCATTCTAGTGGAGACCCGCGGACATTTAATTTTATAGCCACATCAATTTTAATACACAAACTTATTCCAGTACGTATTAATAATGACCAAGGCCCGGATTTTGATGACCTGAAAATATTTAAAAAATGACCTATAAAATGACTGAAAAAATCCAGAAAAATGACCTAAAGGAGAAAAGAAAGCACACTTCGCTTCCATGTTATTCACATTTCAGAAAACGTATGAAGAAGAATTCCCAAAAATGGCCAAAAATGACAAGAAATACCCTTAAAAGTCCAAAAATTTACCAAAAAATTACCCCTAAAATGAAAAAATGACCTTAAACCTAAAAATGTCAAAAAATTACCTATAAAATTTACATTTCTGTAACCAGCAGCTCATATCCGAGATTTATATATTTAAGAGCATCGCATAGGATACAAGAAAAAAAAGACGACATGCCATCAAAATTCGGGCCCTGATGATGATAGTGGTTGAGGAGGCTCTTTTAATTTATATTCATATTTCTGGGAATTCCAAGATGGAATATTCAATCGAACATGTTTTGAAGCCACAAGAGATGGCGTATCTGTCTGCCTTCTTCAGAAATACAATTAGTGAGGATCATAATGGGAATACAACTGCAGCACAAAATAATATGGGTTTCACCAAATTAATTAAAGAAATTTATCGGCAAAAACGTTAGTTCTTAAATCACTGTCTCATCAGATAATGCTGCATATCCGAATTCCATTACGTACCTCGCACTAGAAGAATATTCCAGTGACCCTTAAGAACAAACAAAACACGCTTCTAAATTGGGACCAAATTTCAGTATGTAGTTGTCCTGCAAACTGCAGATAAAGTTGTAAGTTTTGAGGTTTTCACGGCGATGACTATGAAGAAAGTCGTCTTCTGGGTTTAGGCACCGTGTATTCTTCGTTTT